CATCAGTTTGTGTAAGCAAGTCAAGCAGTTCACAATCTGACCATTCCCTGTCATACATAGGGCATTTATTTGGAGGAATGGAAACCGTTCCTGTCCAAGTATTAAGGAGTGGGGTTCTACAACGATAGGTTTACCTATGAGGTCAACCAGGTTAGATATTGCAAGGGCTTGACACTCAGATTCAATGGCGACAAAGTGTGAGCAATCCGGACGGTTGCGGAAATGGATCTTGCCTACTTGTCTTTGAAGGCATTTTTGGAAAAGCAAGGTATTGTCAGAGTACTGGGGCTGTAGAGGGAATCAAACTATCCCATTTGGATGAGCCAAACAGTGCATTCAAAATTGTTGTAGAGGTGGGAATTGTAGAAGGACGAGGTCGAGAGGCGGAGGGTGTGGTTTGGAAAGATGATGTGATGTGTTAAGGGAGTGGCAATAAGGTTGAGTTGTTATAAGGGAGGGGGTAGAAAAAGGTGGTATTTGAGTAGATGGTATCGAGGGCATTGGGGTTGAGAAAGGGGTGTTTGGAGGTTGGGTTATCTGGGTAGATGGTTCAGGATGGGTTAGGTTGTTGGTAGGTGTCAATGGGGGAGTAGAATCAGTAATCGGAGTCCAGGGTCGGTAAATCATTGGGGTCAGAACTATGGAGGTGGTGATAAAAGGGGCAAGCTTCAATGCCTCTAAGGGTACAAAATCTTCATTACTGGCCATGGGAAGCCTGGAATAAGTGGGGATAATTAAAGGTCCACCCCTCAGGGTTCCCATGAGGGGTAAGGGCTAGATCAACTACCAAGGGAAAACCATGCCCGTGACTCCCTGAGGCCGTTCATGACTGGCAAGAAATCAGATTTTCAACCTTTCATCACGGCTCACATTTTAGGAACTCGATAGGAAAGGGTTGGGAAGATAAGGAAAAGGACAGATGGAGAAAAATCCATGCAAAGTTAGTGGAGTCGGGGGCTGAGGCCCATGGTAGGGGTGATTCCTATATTGGGCCTCAGTCCCCGTCTCCTAAGCCCCCCCCCCCCAGACAACAACGGGCAAGGAATGGGGGGGGTATTGTTGATGTGTCATGCTCCTAAACGATGTAAACAGTAGTATGGCAAATAAAAGCTGTAAATGTTTGGGAAATATATCAAATCCTTTTATTAGTGTTTTGTAACACTACAAAGCACAGCTAACATAGTAATATTTTCCAATGAAGTTAAAACGATGTCCTCGGTAGCATTCTCCAGTGGAAATTAATGTGGTTGACATAATGTACTGGAGATAGGGAGTACAAATCAGTGCCCCCACCCCAAAAAATATATATACTTTGCTATTCATGTACATGATGTATGACAATTCCTTTATTTACCCATTCTCGAATCAAGTGCCCTAACTTTTTTCTCGTTTTATGTTCCATCACCTAACTTCAGGGATTTAATATTTTTTTCAATTTTAAGACGCACACTGCTTTAAAATTTTCCACATGACTTTTCTTTCAACTGCATAGATACCTCACAGCAATTTTCTTGGGACACGGACCACATCCTTTTATTGCCTTGGCGCAAAGACGAGTGATGATGGTCTTGGGGTGTGACGTTGATGGCATTGGAGATGGTGTCTCTTAGATGAGTTGGTGGCGATGTTGATGGCGTTGCAGATGATGCTTCAAATCTCGGGACTACTTCGCTTGAGGAGTGAGGCACGGGGAATTTCATGGAGGAATTGTCATAACCACAGTACCTTCGTCATCTGAAATGTCAAGAATTTGTCTGACAAAATGTGTACATGTACATTTTTATTATGGGTTCACAGCCCATGCAGTGCCTACGCCATACATCGTGGGTTTGAGAAAAACTCACTGGACAGTAATTGATCGGACAAAACACATAAGAAATATACAAAATCACCCGAAAAATGTGCGAGGCCCTACACTCATAAGAAATATACAAACATTTAATGATTTACTAATGGAATTAAAATGAATGGATAAAAACGGACAGTGTTCAAACTAATAAAATAGCATGTTTATTTTTCAAATGAACTGTATATATATATTTTTTTTCTTCTCACCAAGCACCGGTCAATAACTACAATTAATTGTTATGCTATACTGTCAAGTGTTACTATATTGATTAGAATCTTGTTTTCATTTGGGTTTCTAGGGAGGTTATCTAGTAAATTCAAAACTATAGCTTGTCAGAAAAAATAAATCCATCCTTGAGATCTAAGTTTGGAAGGATTACTACATAAATGAGGCTGAGGATAACAAGGCAAGATGACTTCAATTGCCACACACCATCTTTGACGACTGCCACATTAGCTACCAAAAGTTAAAACGATATTAGATACATATCCTGATACTCATGTTGGAAAGAAACCAGACGATTATACTGACCTTTTGATACATGAAGATTTTTCCAATTTGTTGGTATAATCAATTATAAGGCAAGTCAAGAGGATCCATCTCTTTCGATATGATGGCGAGTACATTTGCCGGCGTCTCATCTTCCACATGCTTTCCAGGCGAGTCCCCACCAGTTTTCGTGCATTGCCGCTTCTGTGGACTATACTTCTTTGCCCTTATGGGTGCAAAAGGGTCATTAATATTATTGCTTAGAATTATTAATAAAACCTGCCTGTCTCTTTCTGTGCTGGACATGATACACAACTCAAGACGTTGAGTTTACAATGAGCTCTACGCCAAAAAGAAACCGACCACCAAGAACATGAAAGATTGATACTTGCCTTTATGTTGTTCCCACATCCACTTACTTGCTGGCAGTTTTGAAGGGCCACACCTGCAGAACTGTAGAGGGTTGTTATCCTATGCTTCGGATTTTCTCCCAGTCATGGTATGGTCTGTCTGCTTGTCCATTATAACGTCCTTGAATTAATCTAATTGGACGAGAAGAGTTTTTCCCAACAACCGAGGCTCCATTTCTCCTTTCGATTGTGTGACGGCAAGGAAGTTGAGTGTGCGTCCTAAGTGCTGATATCAAGCTTGTAGACTGCTTGTGATCTCGTGGTACTGTAAATCCTGCCCGAGAAATGGTCTCAACTTTGTAAACAACCCCCCCCATTCATACCAGCCTTCTCGAGTCATAGCATTACCAGGTCGCAGGGTTACCAATCCCATCCCACAACACATGGCATTTAAGAATACCAAAACATTGTGCCCCTGACCGTGGTGGGAGGATCAGCTTTACATTTGTGTGTGATGTGGGATTATGATTATGGCCCTCAGAACTCGCCAGCAGCACCTCAGCTCTCGAAGACATCCAAAACTATCTAATCATGACCCAAGATGACATTATACCTCAATCCATCCTCCAATGTGCGATCCCATTCCTTCCTGATTCACCTGCATCATTCCCACTTTCTCTTGGAACTGACCCTTTATCACAAGAAACCCCCTCCCTGGATTCTTTCTTTCGACATTTTACCTGAAACTGATATAATCGGCGTTACACTCACTTTCTCCTTTGCTAATCCCCACCTTACACTACGGATAGTTTGATCTAATCATCCCTGTCTTAACTGCTATATTTCTTATGTGCGGCACATATAATCATGTACTCTTTACCCTTTATACTAATACACCTTTCCATAGTGCTATATAACCTTTCATGTCTAACATTTATTTTGTTTTGTAACCGTTAACCATACGAAGGTAAAACGAAGATTGTAATTGAAGCCCCTTTTTTTCCTTCTCCTTTCCTTAGTATGTAATTTTGAGACTAATACTGAATTTACCTGAAAGCATTTCCAAAAATAAAACTTGCTACATTCATTACCAAGTAATTGTTTATGTCTTAGAACAGTTTCCCAGAACATTGATGAAATAAATAAATTAGGAGCCTTTCAAAAGCTGTCCGACTCCGTACGAAATGTTTCTGTATTGAAAATTAGCGACATATTCAAGATTTAGCAATAGGGTGAGGGTAGGGGGTGATATTTCAGCAACTGAAATGTTTTTGCCGCAACACAGTCAGTAGCGGCGTTAATAAGATTTAGCGATAGGGTGAGAACTTTGGTTCAGGTAGCCAGACCGACTATTTTTTTGCCGACAAATACCGACTCGAATGTTTATTTTATTTTAAACCAGTGTTTTAGATTTGTAGTAGACGGGAATTTAGCAATAAACAGTGCGACAACGGCTAGACTTAAGACTACCAAGGGACGCTCGTGCTGCGGGGACTGCAACATGTGTATCGCCACTAGCTGATGTGCAGCAGTACTGAATATTAAAGTGACAGCCCTCTGAATGATGCTTTAACAAAATTTGTATTTAGAACGTAAACTTGTTTAATTTTCTATTTTAATATCAAGGTCTGGGAGGCAGGGTTTAGAGTGTCCATGAACAGATCCCTCCTACAGCTCCTTACTCCGGCAACAGTTTGGCATTGTTGAAAGAGAAGAGGGTTGCCTATTGCTCCCGTCTCGTTACAGTCAAGATCTGAAACCGTAGCTATAGCATTATCAAATCTAACTTATTATTCTGGCTACCCCATTCCTGCAGAACCTCATCCAACTTTTAATACTTCTACTGGAAGTGTCTATCCCCCCAGCAAAATGCCCAGTTGATACCAAAGATTGGTCACTGTTGAGAACACTTAAATGCTTCAAAGACCAAGACGTGAAATCCGTACACTGCTACTCCATTCCTCCTAGAGGTCATCAGAAGAAACCCACCAACGCTGCCAAAATTACTTTCAGCACACGGCCTTCCCGTTCGTATCTACACTGGTGGACAATCCTTCCATGTTCGACCATACCAACCCTCTTCACACTATACAGTGTACTATGCATTAATTGTATACACGCCTATGCTTGCAATTAATGCATAGTACACTGTACTACATACTATACAGTATGTTCAAGTTAGGCGGCAAAGAGCTTACTCATTTTCGTCCCGTCGACGAAAAAATAATAACGGTTTGCATTTTGGTCCACATAGTGAAAATATTCTTCGACCGCTGTTAAGGGCGCAGTTTAAGGACCAGTAAAAATCTGAGTAGTTAAGAAAATATAATAAATTTCCAATTCATTAAAAAGGGCACATTGGTAAAAATGGCATTGTGCTATCCATATTCAGATCTTTGCAGATTTGGAAAACAGGATGAGGCAAGCCCTTTGTCAATCATGGCCGCGAATTTAGGTCAGCAGCCATGTCCGCAGGGATATCATCTGAGGAAGACAAAAATATCGATATAAAAACAGTTATAGCATAGGCACCATATTTTTTTTTTTTTTTTTTTTTTGTATAATCATAACCCATCAGAAACCAATTTTTCTATGGTATCTTTTGTGGGCGAGGCAGCAGATCGTGCCAAGCTATCTACTTTTTCATTCCCGGGAATCCCAACATGACTGGGTATCCAGCAAAAACTCAACGGCTCTCATGTAGACAGTAGCAAAGCTGGTATTTTATGGACTACAGGGTTCATTGGGTGATCGGATTTTACAAGTGATACAGAGTTGCACGAGGCCGAAGGATGAAGTAGAGATAGAAGACATACATTGTAGGGCAAAGAGTATAGCACACAGTTCTGTTGTAAGGATGATTGATTCAAGAGGTAAAGGAAAGCTGTATGCGTGAGAGGGAAAGACTACAGCAAAACCAGCACCCGGGGTGGATTTAGAGTCGTCGGTGTAGAAACGAGTACTAGAGGAGTGACTAGAGAGATATGCAAGAAAATGTGTGAGGAGGATAGAAGGTGGAATATCTGACTTTGGTAAATCAAGGAAAATCGAAGAGCAATTGCAAGAGGTAGGTATTAGCCATGGAGGGAAAGTTTGGGTAGAAAGAGAAGAGTTTGGAGATGAGGAAAGGATGAATGGGAAAGAAGAGCATCCAGATGAACAGGGAAAACGACAGGTTACGTGGAGAGGATAAGAAGGGGTTAAGGGGCAGTTAGCTTGAAGAGAGAAAATTGGTGAAAGCGAGCATAGCTTGTTAGAGACTGAATCAGGACTACCATCCCTCTCGATGTCGCGCTCTTCCGAGTATTGGCTCTCAACTGGAGAGGATGGGAAGGCTCCTAGGGCTAAGCGGAGACCACAATGGTATATTAGATCAAGCTCAGAGAAGAGAGGCAGAGGCATAATACATGACAATTATAGTCAAGGGTGGAGAGGATTAGCGCAATGTGGAGATGGAGGAGTGTTTTGCAGTCTGAACCCTAGGATAGGTGGGAGAGGGTTTGTGGGTGTCGAAGGCAATGGCGAGCTTTATCTTTAATGGAGAGGATAGGAGTCGAAAATAACTCCTGGAAACTTGCTGGAAGCTTGGGATTGGATAGGGGTATCATAAGGGAGTGGTGGAGGTTGGGAACCTATATGGGAACGAGAGAATAGGATGGAGAAAGTTTTAAAGAGAATCGAAAGCTGTGGTTGGTAGCCCAAAAAGAGACTGATGTTATTGACGACTGGCTAAGTCGATGGAGAACTTTTATGGAAGGGCCAGAGGTAAAGATGGCTAGATCTACATATAGTGATGATCGGATTCCTTGTGGCAAAGCTGAAACTAATCCGTTTACAGCTATGAGGAACAGTGGTTCTTAATGCAATGCCTTGAAGGACGCCTTTTGACATGGAAGGTACTGTGAGAGGAAGGATTTTATAAAAGCACCAATAAGCCGTGGAGAGAGAGAGCTGTAGTAGTATCATGCCCTTTTTCGAGATCGAAAAAGACGGCTAATATTGACTCACAGCTTGCAAAAGCTAATGATTAATGTTTCTACATAGGCTAGTGGATCAGCTGTGCTTCTGCCTTAAAGAAATCCAAAAAAGAAATCCAATCTAATTTGGTGAAGTGATTTCGTGTTATTCGAGGTACCACATTAATCTGAAGTTTATCATCCTTTTCATTAATTTGCATAGGCAATGGGGCAGCAGTCTTGGGGAAGAGTACCTGTTTTGTTAGGTTTTAGGGAAGGTAGTAGTATGGCTTCTCTCCAGTGGGGAGGAAAGTTTCCAGTCGTCCATATGTTATTGAATATTGAGAGAAGGAAGGATAAGAAAGTAGGAGAAAGGTATTATAGCACAAGGTAATGTATACCGTTTTGGGTGTTGTGGTACGACAAATGCATTATAGATTCAGAAGAAAAGGGTGCATTATAAGGTTCTGCAGATGACAGGGAGAAGAATAGGAGTACACAGTCTGATTTTAAGGAAGACAAGCAAGGAGAAAGATCAGAGCCACTCCTGACTTGACTAAAGCAGGCACCAAGTTCAGTAGCTACTTCAAGAGGGTCAAAGACGAGGTTATTATGAATAGAAGAACGGGGGCAGGATGAGGATGTTTTCCGGATAATTTATGGATCTGCTGAGAGATTGGTTTGGAGGATGTTATGGAGGATACATAGTTTTACCAAGCTATTTGTCATGGAGTTACGGAATGTACGGCAAAGGTGGCCTTTTTTTTAAGATATGAAGGCTGTTAGTTGACTGGAGGTGCCTCTTGTAACAGTAGCTATTCCAAGCTGCCCACTTCAAACAATGCATTTTTGTACATTCAAGGTTCCACCACAAAACGCATTTTGAAGTGTAAGGTCGGTAAGTTCGAGGGTTAATGGTTATATAGGCTGCATTTAGTACATTAGTTCTGAAATATTGGAGTATCTCTGAGGTGGAAGAAAAAGATGATGGAGGAAGGTCAAGAGTAGAGAGGTAAACGTATTCCAGTCTGCTCTGTCACAGCACAAGCGAGGGAGGGGGGTTGGGGAGCGGGATATAGGATGTTAAAGAAAGTAGTACTGGGAAGTGATCACTAGAGTAAAAAAAAATTTAACACTGCTCTCCTACCCTTCACATACTTCTATTGGTCAAAGAGATCGAGACATGAAAAGGATTGGGTGCATAATTCGAAGTGAGTAGGACTGTTGGAGTTTAGGAGGATAAAGTCTATTATCAATACCAGGGGTCGCTTCTTAAAGTCACCCCAGAGGGTATGGTGACAGTTAAGGTCTCCAACTAATAGGAAAGGTGGTTGGAGTTGGGAAAGTAAGGTCTCAAATTCTAAGAAGTCAATAGGGAGGGAAGGAGAGTAGATTAACGATTGCGATCCAGTAGCGATGGAAAATCTGGATAACAATGCAAGGTATAGTGCTTTGTAAAGGAGGTATGATATATGGTGTTTTATGATGGACAAATATGGAACAGGCAAATATAGAATAAGGGAGTGACACAATGGTAGTTGGGAAGTGGTACTGGAGGATGTGTGAGGAAGGTTTCTAGGAGGCAGACAATAGATGGATTGGAGGAGAGAAGATGGCGGAGGTCAGGTCTGTGTGAGCGAAAGCCTCTAATGCTCCACTGCATAAGAGCCATTTTGGATCATTCTACAACTATTATGGGTGGCAATGTATGTCAGAGGTAAGAGCGGTGTCTGGGGTCTGAGGTATGGGATCAGGCGATAGAGGTAACAGTGTAACATCAAGAGAATCTTCATGGGAGGAGGGATCAGGGGGAGAAGGTGAAAGTATAGTATCTGGAGGTTCATCAATTGCCTCCTTGTACTGATACAGCATCGTCTCCAGCGAGGCAATTAAGCGGGTCGTTTTCGCAGTCTGACAGGTGTCCGTAGACAGGGCAAGCAGTTGAGAGGGAAACTGTTCCAATACATGTATTAAGGGAGAGGCGAGGTTGGACAGGGATAGATTTGCCAGTCAGATCAACCAGGGTAGATAAAGCTTGGGCTTGATTCTAAGATGTAACTGATTAAGCAAGAGCGATCAGGACGACCGGAAAACTTTGCCTACTTGTTTTTAGAGGCATTGTTGGAAGAGTAGGGTATGATCTGAGTGAGGGGCTGTTGGGGGAACTATAAAGAACCGGTGCCACTTAGCTGGTCTACGGGGATTACTCAAAAGGTGTTAGGAAGTGGGAATTGTTGAGGGACGGGGACGGGAGGAGGGAGTGGTGTGAAGTAAGGTTGTATTATGGACATGAAAGATAAGGTTGAAGAATTGTAATGAGGGAGGGGGCAGAATGTGAAAGTTATTGTTCAGGAAGTGGGATGAGGACGGGACGTCTTTAAGGGTCACCCATACTGTGACAGCAGAAAAGATACGACTACAATCATACCACGTTAAGAACCTATATATTGACAATGATAACCCTTGGAGGATAAAGTTTTTAGTGACTAGTTTTGCTAAATGTGTATCAAACTGCCCAAGTATCAATAAGCGTGCAACGAGTCATTGACAAGGAAGTAGTAAACTTTCCTCCCCCCAGTATAATATGCATATTTAATTTCATTGATCATCAAATATTATGCAATAACAGCAGCCATAACAGAGCTGAACATACCTGAACAAGTATACTTGATGTTGGACCAGATAATTTTTTCTTGAGAGAAGCAGAAGAGTCCCAATCGGCCTCCTTTTAGTGTGTCATCATAAATGTTTCCAGAGTCTGTCACCTGGTAATCCCCTTTGTACAAGTAGAACCTCATGGTGCCAATACCAGGGCGGTGGTGAAGCAGCCAACGGTATGCCACATTTGGCGACCATCCAATTCTGTTATCCTGCCAAAGCAGTTTTGCCTGAAATACAAAATTCATATCTTTAAAGGAATGAAAATTGTGGTATAAATCTGATCGTCATTATTTATGGATTATTTTCTAGTTGTAGCAGGGCGCTGGGTGAAAAAAGGAATTTACTTCAGTATACACAATAGAACTGGCCAAAAGATTCTACCTGTGCTTTTGTAGAACGAGTGACCCACAATGCATCCCTTAGTTCTGTTCCAGGACCTGTTCTGGAGTTGATCAGCTTCAGAGTAAAGCCTCTTTCTGCCTTGCTGAACCAACGCTGTGTAGCCTGCTTCCACATCATGACATAAAACTTGGCATTGCTTTGATAGCTGGAGAAAAATTTTAGGAAATCGCTTTTAATTACAAGAAAGTAAATTGTACAAAACTAATTCCAGCATTAGAGAAAAATTACTTACCTAAATACAAAGCCAACAAAATCATCATCAGTTAGATCTTCAATGAAGAAGGTCCCTTCAAAGTCAACATTGCCCAATGAGTGATCACCTATTGAGTAACAACCAGTATTAAACTTTATTTAAAGGTGTCATGTTGGAATAGATCACTAAGGTGTTGCATCGTATATGCATCACAAAATACAGATTAAAAAAATACCAGGATTTACCCAATGCTATAGCTGGGTCAGAGTTCACCAACTGGTGAATTTCTGTACCATTATCATGGATGACCCAAACTGGAGGAGTGGTTGCAGCCCCTGGGTTTAACGCCACTGTCTGAAGTTTTCTGGACAAAATAAAAGCAAATAATTAATGTCCATTCTTTGTATTCCGATACATTTACTGCGCACTGAATTCTGTGGCCCCACATTTGCTCAGCTACCAAGGAGTCAACTTGGTAGAGCCCAATGCGAGTTCTCCGGATTTTTTTCCCCTAAAACTATTCAGATCTAAACTATTTCCAATGGCAGTTTGGTTATTATACTGTAATCAAGATACCGTTGGCTATAAATAGAAATTAATAAATCATGGGTAGGTAGGGCTAGTATTTGACTCCTTGATGACCAAGCACTTGGAATTATGTTTAAATTCTAAATCACAGTGGACAATACCATGCCATCAAGGTTAATGATATACGATGCAGTAGCAACAACCAACTCCCAGAGTATAATTTTCCTCCAGAAACAGCTGTCTAATTACACTTATTACAGAAGCAGAAGCATAGCTAGGGTGTGGCACATGGTCCATCGTGAGAATCCCATCCATCCCATCCCCCCCCCTCACACTTTCCCCTCTTGATTCTGTTCAAGTATATTTTACATAACTCTTGGACTTGCTGTTTTAATTGGTGCACAGTATAATGGCCGCTATATGTCCTAAGAGTCATCATTGACTTGATCCTGCAATATGGTTTTTAAGAGGAGACAGGCGAGTTAGAGAAATTTGTAAAAAAAAATAATAAAAAAAATAATAATAATAAAAAAATATTGCAATTAAACTCCGGCAATCCTCTGGCATGGGTCTGGGACGAGGTGCGCAATATCACTAGTACGAGCCCCGAAGATAATGGCATGTTACGAACAGAAAATGACGTTGCAAACGAGATAACTAAATCAATGGCAGAGATCTCCTCTCGGGCATTTTACACTGCCCGATTATCCACCCTTCGGGATGAACAAGAAGACCCACTATTCTTCAGGAGGACTACATACAATTTGTCAGTTGTGTAGGGAAAAGGACTGCTTTGCAGCTCTGCCTTAAAAGGCTTATGTGAAGTATCAACTGAAAATTTTAAATAGGGAAAAATTAGCTCGTAAACCATCTCTAATATTAGTAAAAAAAAAAAAAAAAAATCTGAAAATAATTCCAAAAAATTGCGAATTTATATATTTATTTCGATTTTCCGGTCAAGTTATATTTTCCCACGAAAATCCTGGCCTCACAAGACTATAGCGGCAGTGGTTTCATCGACTTGTACCAATGTCCTCCGTCTTCGAAGAGTTGGAAGATGATGAATATCAAGGGTTGATGGTTGTTGGACCGTACATGCACGAGCCCGACGCTGTGGATGTTGTGGAAGTTGTGCCAAACCAGCCTGACATGGAGTGGCGTCTAGACCCGAAGAGATTGAATGAATGGTGATTTTCTAAATATTTTTTATGGTCGAATGTGTGATCCCACTTCTATACAGTACAGAATTTCCGTAGGTTGAGCAATCTCTTGTCTGCACCCGTGGCGCAGGCCTACATCCATTCGCGAGTGGAGGGGCATTGGTATATATTTGGGTTGTGCTTTTTGGAGTGTACCTACCCTACCTCTGTAGTAATACAACTGTACATCGCCATGTACATCAATCCATATTGGATCAGACACCAGCTGATGATAGCGTTCTCAAATAAAAAAGAGCATGTTCCTAATCATGTTTTATGTGCCTGATGATAGGCCTGTGTCAGGCTTACCCAGCGCTTATTTTATTAATTGTTCAAAAATGATTTGATGTATATATTCATGTACTGATTACATCTAGATACACCTCTTCATTTTGTTATTATGTACTTTATCTTCTCTGGGCAATTTATGATAACCATTGATGATAAAAACATTCGAAGTTGTAGTAACTATAATGATAAAATGAAAAGGATGAAAGAGAGAGAGAGTGGATGGAAAAGAATGAAAAAGTGTCAAATGCAGATTTTAATGAACCAGGAAAAGTGAATAGAAAGGTCAAGAAAAAGAGGGGGACATCTCTCTACCCCCCCCCCACACACACACACAAAATGACTGGCTGTGCACTACTGTGTGTATCACGTTATTCAACAAGGTTCTCCCTGGTTCTGGGAATGACGTCACTACCGGAGATTGCCAAAGATCGCCGATGTTTTGCATCCGTTTCTAAGGGCGTTGCCATGGGAGTTTTGGGGATACCAGAGGGTCTCTTCGAAATTTTTTTTTTGCTATGAATAGCTAACAATACATAATGACCAATACATTCAATGGAAAAAAAACAATGCACGATAATTACTTCACACAAGCCCTTTAAGACTGCCCCATGAAGTGACGATATCCCATAGCAAATGTTATCCGAGTTATGGGAAAGATATCAAAATTTCCTGTTAAATCTATTCAATAAGATATTTAGGGAGGACACAGTGCCATCCACAAGGAAAGAAGATACAGCCATTGCTCTCCCTAAACCTGTCAAGGATACTTCCATACCAATTTCTCTCCCCTGCTGCAACTGTCTATAGTTCCCTTCTACGGATTCATCTATGCTCCCTGCTGCCCACTCATCGACAGATCCTGCTTATGCTATCAATCAATCTGTCAATCTCTTGTCTTTCGAGAGAGAAGAAAAAACTATACACAACACACACAGGCCATGTATACACACACAACATATACACATACATTTAAATTTTCATTAGGCTATATAAAATAAATGTACCAGAAGCATTCTAAGTTTTTGAAATCAGGTTATTCATTGAAAACCACTAATTGTTCACGCTAATAAATACTTAAGCAAAATAGCTGAAGACCTGAACTCGTGTTCATAACCGCACCACCCACCTGAAATCTGTCGAGCGCACACGAGGATTGTTGATGCAGACATCTTCTGTATCGACAATTTGGTCACCGTCGAAGTCGTTGGTGCAGGCATCACCCCGGCCGTCCCCGTCACTGTCCAATTGGCCTGAATTCGGTATCAGCGCACAGTTATCACCCGTGTCATCCACGCCATCACCGTCGCTGTCAGTATCACAGGCATCGCCACTGCCATCACCATCTACGTCTGACTGGTCACTGTTGGCCACATCTGGGCAGTTGTCTATACTGTCCTCCACGCCATCACTGAAAGCACATTTTTGAAAACAAGGCGATCCATGCTATTAAGTAGTTATTTTTTTATATTTCTCATATCACCCGGGAGCAACTTCAAAAATCTAACCACCAGCTTACCTATCCAAGTCAGCATCATCATCACATGCATCTCCCAGCAAGTCTTCATCAACATCATCTTGGCCAACGTTGGGATGGCGGGGGCAGTTATCACACTCATCGCCCAGACCATCCCGATCAAGATCGTTTTGGTTGGCATTTGCAGTGAAGCGACAATTATCGTTAATATTAGCGGTTCCTAGTTGAGGAGATTAATAACATTCCTTGAAATTTAGTAGCCTGGATTAAATTATGGCAGTTGGTTTGCTTTATTTGTTACATCATTTATAGCCCAAAACCAAAACTAAACTGTACCATCATTATCAATATCATCGTCACATTCGTCGCCCATTTCATCCCCGTCAGTATCCTTCTGGCTCGGGTTAGACACCGCAGGGCAGTTATCACAGACATTTCCCCATCCATCTGAATCCAAGTCTTCTTGTAATGGATTGGATATCAGAAGACAGTTATCCTGTAATATTATTGTTAGATTAAACAAGTGACTTATGGAGATTATCTCTTACGACTGCTTCAGTATAATAAAATGACCAAATTAAAGTTATCCCTCTACAGCCAGGTTTATAAGGGAGCTCCCCTGAGCTATCAGGTAAAACGATAAACTTACTACATTTATAACTTGCATATTTGAACAAATCAAATATAATATGCACATGCGTTATATAAATTCACTTTTTTCTTACTGTATTCTTATCAAAGCCATCCCCATCAGCATCACTGTCACAGGCATCGCCATCGCCATCGCCGTCTGCATCCTCCTGGCCGGAATTTGGCTTATAAATGCAGTTATCCTGACGGCAATATTTTTCTGAACAACTTAATTCGGAGTCTGGGTAGCCATCAAGGTCAGAGTCACGAGCACATTCACCACTGGTCCCCGCATAGCCAACTGGACACTGAAAACGGTAATAAATTGCAGATTACTTGTATACATACACACTAAGGTCCTATTTGACAGTCTAGAAATTCAGAGTTTTGCAGATAGATACAAGCAATTACCTCTAGGCCCTTGCATGTAATCCCATCTCCAGTAAATCCAGCTGGGCAAGGACCACAGATGAAGTGGGGAGCCACGCTTAAAGATCTACAGATAACACCAGGATAGCAAGGGGCCTGCGCACAATAATCTGTTTAGTGGCGAAACAAGAAGCCAACTGATTGTACAAGTAAGAGTTGGTAGCTTTCGAAAATAAGATCACAATACTCGAGGCTTAACATCTACAGCGTGTCAATTTCTATGATTCACTTGGGCAGTCTTTGCAACTGGGACATACACAACCCTTTAAAATCCTTCATTAATTCTGCTTTATAGACTAGTAAAAGTGCCATAGAACATTTACTTGACCCACTGACTGTCTTCAAAGAAATCGGCCGACTGCTCTACCTCCGAGATAATCTAGGACTCTAGGCCTACAAGTAAGAGTTTTTAATCTCGGTGCGAAGAGGTTTTCAACGGTAAGCGATCGTTAAACAACCATCAATTATCCTAAATAGTCAACTAAAACCAAAAATACTATATTTACATCTTTTAACACCACAGAACATTGGACTGGAACAGGTTAAGGTTAAGACACATTAAGAAAAACAAGTACTATTAGTCGAGTTTTCAAAGTTTGAATTAGAAAGCGAGCACGGCGAAGAAACTACATACTTCCTTTTGGCTCTCAATATCCATGTTTAAGTACTGGGCCTTCAAATTTCTATTTGCTTACCAAAGGAGAGGGAGGGAGGGAGGGAGGGAGGGAGGGAGCACACACACACACACACACACACACACACACACACACACACACACACACTTACTTTGATCGTGGCACAGGTCCCCAGGATTCTTGCAGTTGCGGAAGGGGTAGTCAAAGTAGTAGTCCCCGTTATCTTCCACACATCGTCCAACTCCTGGGTTTTCAGCGTACCAAATATAACCCTCAGGACAAGAGTAACGAGACTTCTTCATTTGCCCATTCTGCACGACGCACTCAAAGTAATAACGAACATTAAGGGGATCACCGAACCGCCCGTCCTCTTGGCACTCAAACTGATAAATACAAGGATCTTCACAGGTTTGCGTTTTCTCATTGAACAAAGTATTATTACTGCACATGGAGAACCTTTGAAGAAATCCATGTCTCAAGGCAATGCATGTATAGTATTCGCCACAATTATTTGGGTTGGCAAAAACTCCAGATACGGTGCATGGTGGAAATCCGGCATTGTTTAGACACTGTGAAGATGATTCATGAAATGCCATTCCATCCAGACATTTATAGGCAACTGGTTCTGAATAAGATTCTGCGCAAGCGAAGAACCTCTGTGGGTCATAATAATCCACACGAAATTCATGAGGCCGTTCACATGTGCACTGCACAGGGGCGCCTGGATAGCACACGCCTCCTGCAAACTGGAGTTTATTTAAACAAAAGTCACCCTCAATACAGTGACGAACGAAGGCCTGTCCCTGCACACACATGACCTGAGTTTTGCAATTTGCACACAGGAAACCATCAGGCTTGGCTTCACACAGATGGGAATATGGGTTCATGTCTGGGGTAACACTCCGGGTGTGACGCGAGTTAACACACTGTAAATATCAAGATGAACAAAAATCAAACAATGGTAGACAAATAGATAAGGATTCATTAACACCATAAATAATCACTTTAAAACAGTAAAAGATACTAACCATGCCGTCTTTGGAGCATTCCCCAGAGGTGGCATTGTACATGAAGCCGTCACAATCACCTTTTCTTGCATTATAGCCGCCGTTTCCGTCGTCTACACAATCTACGTAAGCACCGCAGATACTTGAATCGGGAAACCTCCCTTCCCCTGGACAGTCATCTGCTGCCACGCCAGCAGTTATTCCCACAATCATCTGTAAAGAGAAAATTATAATAACTGTTCATCTACCATAGAATAATATGATTCCTCTTTCAAACGCACTTTGTTGTGTGAAGATATGATCATTAGTCTCCGAGTTGTAAAAGCAAACAAGTGACTCCCTTATGAAGAAAGGAAAAGCCATTGAAACTTTACCACTGTTGGACATTGTACAAAATGTAAACATGAACGTATGAATTCTAAAAATAACCCGGCCTCGTATCCTATACATTAAATAAAATAATATTCATTCATTGAGTGCAACGAGGTGCACTCAATGAATGAATATTATATGTATACTTAATTTCTTCAAGCCTTGTAAAAAAAATTACGGCATTTGGCATGACTCCCACTACGACAAAGACTAAACGGAAGATAGGAAAGCATGGCAAAAGTCTAAGCCCCAACGGTTTGCAGATAGTGTAATATCTGAACAAAAGATGCTGTGTACGCGACGTATTGGTACAAAGAAGCAACGAAAGTTTGAGGTTTCTGGATGTAAAGGTATTTGGTTTATTTTACGGTGTGAATGCAGCTCTATCTTACTGTACATACCGAGGTGAAGAGAATGTGTACGGGGGAGGGGGGGGGAGGGCGAAGCGGGGTTTGGAATGTGTGAATTCCCAGAGAGTTTTCCCGAAACATGGATTGGGTTCCTGTTTTTTTTTTTTTTTTTTTTACTACCGCGTCAGCCTGTAGAATTTCAAAGGTGGCGACTCCATTCATAGAGTTTAAATGACCGATTTTAAGCGTTTTTTTGGTGCTAGTTTGATGCATTTGTTATCTTTATTCTTAATTCAGCCTGTTTTGCCACAATTTCCATGATACTTCATGCGCTTCCCTGCTTACTGGACTAACAAATCAAGATCGCCAATGGAGAAATGGCACTCCATCTCCTGCAGAAGAAACACCGAAAATCGATGAAAACATTGGATTTCCTGCATAAACAAAAGTATTTTTTCAATTGGGGGCTGCATCTTTCTGTAACAAATACCATAATTAACAAAATGTAAATTTTAACAAGCATGTAGTAACACACGAACTACTTGGGATATTGCAGTAACGAGTTAAGCGGCCAGTGTTGTATTATTCCTGGCAAGTTAAACAAGATGAGCCATGAAACGTATCCATGTTGACAAATGTAGAAAAGGTATGAATGAGACTGGATATCTTCACAATACAAGAGATGTATTTGACCGGTTTCGATTACGTCTTCATCAGAAATACATGTATTTCTGATGAAGACGTAATCGAAACCGGTTAATTACATCTCTTGTATTGTGAAGATATCCAGTCTCATTCATACCTTTTGCTACACAAGAGGCCAGTGTTGTTTTATTCCTGGCAAGTTAAACAAGATGAACCACTTAGACAGCGGTGATATGCAAGGGATATTTTCATCATTTGGCAATGAATATTGTTGCCGGAGAGAAGTCGCTATCGGGACAAAATGGTTATGAGGTGAACAGAATGGCAATCTCCCCCCCCCTCTTTTTCTTCTCTTTACGCAATAAGGATTACCGACGTAGAGACAAGTTCCAAAGGGGGGGAGGTATAACAGTTCACGAAGCTCCAAAGTGGGAGGAGAGAAGCGGATAGCACATGTCAATATCAACCTGTAAATGTCTAAAGAAAGAAACTAAATGCCATTTAAACATCATTAAAAAGTAATTATCTGAAATATGAGCCATACTCTGTCCGACAGACGAAATACCGCTTAAGTAAACAAGTGCAACACTCAACGCGTACGAATTCGATATCTGATACACAAAAATTTCAATAGAGCAAAATGTGGTCATCATGTGAACCAAAATAATGAAAACAAATCCAACTAACCCCCCCCCCCGGTTTATTAGCACGATGTCAAATGATTATAAAAGATTATTAAACAATATTCAACACATACCGTCAGATAAAAAAAATGGAAGTTGCTCTATTTACAGTAGTTCCGTGTCAAGCAATTGTTGCTCTCTACCTGATCGACGTAGTTGTCAAACTTTCATAGCATTTGAGAAACGCGTCTACAAACCTTAGTGATGGTTAACGTTAAAAAAAATATATATATATATCTTTACAAAATATGCAAGGTTGAATTTGTGCGCATTTGTGGTCTTCATTCTGAGTCCGCGCTGCTTAAATCAAATAATCCAACGTAACTTTTAAATCTTTTACAGCGAATTTGTCGGCCGCAATGTGACTGTACACCGAATCAATTATGATTTATGCAATAGACAATGAACTTACGCCAAATAATTTTCAGAAATACTGCGTTGTTGTAATATTAGATGTAAAGACTTATTGTTACTGGCATTTGATTGATATTTCATTATATATATTACGTGCAATATAACTAATGTAGGTTCTCGTTATTGTCTATTTAAATCGTACTCGCCTTTTTCCTCCGTGATTATAAACCACCGTCATATGTCCTAGATGTGGTATTTCTTGGGATAAACGTATTTTGCAAAAACAAACTTTCACAGCCGGCTTTCAATATATCGATAATTCACACGGATACCTCCTCGCACCGTGGACAGAAACATTGAACGTTTATTGTGGCCGAGTGCACAGAATTCCGAAAACACGAGTTTTGATTGGTCAGAAAAATATGACGTCAACTGCTCAGGTTTTCAGTGGCTACAATTTGTTGAGGTTTGTTGCGGGTATAATCAGGTGCACAGAACTGTTCGTTATAACTGGTGCCCATTTCTTATTAAATTATACAGGAGGCACATTTATTATCATCAGTTCAGGTGCTATGCTGTGTACCTTGCACAAAACATTTCAAGTTAAGATATCAATCTTATTTTCTATGCTTACATGACTTTTCCTAAAGATTTTTAAAACAATGTTATATTAAATGCCCTATGAACATAATTGTGCAGCCGCCGACAAAGGTTTTGTAAGCTATTTCACCGGGGCCGCTGCTCAGTCGGTCGGGAAATTAATTAAAGTGGGCAGACAAGGGTAGTCATTCTCCCCATCTGAAGCTATGGGCGAGAACATTAAAATATTAGCTGAGGAGCGAATGCCAATTTTAGTAAATACACAACCACTGGCCAAAATCGTAAAAATGTAGCTCACGGATATCAACTGCTACACTGTCGCCTTCTGGTAAAGCCATTGGCTCTCCATATAATAATTATGAATATATGGGCTTATCAAATGGTATGCATTTAATGACCGGTTTGCATATTAGGTGTTGCTATGATGGGTTTTAGTTTAATGTTCTTGGTTAATGCGCGTCTGCCTTGCATTCAGTGCACTTCTGACCCGATGTGCCATCATTCGGTATTCTCAAAGACTTGCCTGTCGTTATATTATTGGTGGTGTATGTAATTATTATTTAGTTATTTTCAAATAGCAAATGCTCTATTCTGCGCTTTTGGTTATTGATAAATGTGAAAAGTCAATAATGGTAATCCCATAACTTTAAAATGCAATGATTAACGCACATTACGATTTGGAAAGGTGAAAATTAATGCTACGAAAGTGATGCTTTTCTCGCTGGTTGGAAAGACCGGAAATCTGGCTCTGCTTCCGATTACTTTTTATGATTCGATGATACACACTTGTTATGTATACAGTGTGTGTGTGTGTGTGTGTGTGTGTGTGTGTGTGTGTGTGTGTGTGTGTGTGTGTGTGTGTGTGTGTGTGTGTGTGTGTGTGTACATACATATATACACACACATTCCTATTTGAAGTAAAACCTCAAAAATATATTGTCGAGAGGCTCACACCGCTTGCAATCTGGTCTTCATGTTCGATTAGTTATCATATTTCCTATACATACCTATAACACCTCTCGTGCCATGTGATACGTTACAAATATTCCATTAGAGCATTGGGTATCAACTAACAAATCACATGTTTTCGAAGTACTATAACATGCTTGAAAAGTACCGAGAGAAACTCACGCAACAAGCTTACATCATTTTAAAATTACCGCGCAATTCTTCAGGCCCTTCTTGCCCGTAACATGGGGTCAGACCGATTTGCGCAGAGCAAGAAATTTGTTTGTTATTGTAAATACTCAATATCGTGCGAGTATTACTGGTGTATTGTCATATTTTGAAACAATATCGTGGGCTTTATATAAGCACGAATCTCAGTGATTAGAATAAATGTACATCAATGAAATGGCATTGTTTTGTTTACAAAGGAAAGGATATCAGATGGTGATTTTTAAACTATTGAGTGTCCAATAACTTATTGAGTTGCGGTTGAAGTTCATTGAAGTTTCTTAGAATCACTTGCTCTATCGTTTGCATATATTTTTCGTCTAAAAGAAGGATGGCTGGAAATTTACCTGTACCAACGAGTACAGGTAAAATGTAGACAAGTTCTCCCTGCAAAAGGTTGATTTCGACTTAGTCTCGTAGCGCCGCCGTTCTTTTCCATTTAACGCTAAATATAAGGCCTGCGCATCTTAAAACTATGTTCTATCCCACTATTTTTCCTCTCTAAGATGGCGGTGTCCTTTTATCTCTCTCTACGCGCGTCGGTGTCAAAGTTATTCCATATCAGGGAAATTATGAGGTAAAACAGGCATAAGAATAGCGAACAGAAATGTGTAAAACTGGAGAAAAAAAACGCTAAAAATTGGCTAATGAAACTCTACGGACATGCTCGCCGCCTTTGAAAGTTTACGCACCTATGTTCGAAAAACTACGGAAATTCAATCCATCTTTCGGCAAAATCTACGGGATTTCACACCTTCCAAACTCCAAATACGTCCTGACCCATAACCCAATCTAACCTAACAATTTACGGCGCTGTGACTAGGCATGCCCTCTGGACACTGAACAAGGGGAGGGTTGGTGGGGGGCTCTGCCACCACCACCCCCAACACCCCCCGGGATGCATTCTCTTCATCTCGGTATGTACAAGATAGAGCACCCTCCACACTCGGTCATCGCGGCGGCTGTGGCGAAGTACTGAACGCGGCGGTTATTTCGGTTAGGAATTCGAAAATCGTGGTTCCAGGGGACGGGAAACTCGACCTTGAGGCCATCGGTGTAACATCGAGAGAGGCGCAAAACCCGCCGACGAGGGCGGGCCACCCTGTTCATCCTGATTATACTACAATCGTCTCAGTATACAATGCTGACTATGCCAAGGTTAATATGCTGATTCAATGGGAATGTTACGAGGTAAATGTAATACGTCCGCCGCTCCGAGATCGCCGATAACTGTGAAACGCTCTAGCCTGCCGGGAATACGTGGTGAGGTTTTGTTTCCTCGCCCCTGCAATGGAAAGTCATATAAATAACCATGGTTATTTTCACAGTGTGTTATATTATTCTCCCAATTTTCTCTAGAACCTTCCAAGCCCTCCCTTGCTATCGGGACCAAGTTTGTCGCTATACTATATATTTGCAGTGCGGACAGTGAGAGGAATCCAACGATTCCAAAATCGTCGATATCGGAGAGGCGAAGGTAATATAGAAAATTACCAGGAGGAATAACAATTGCAAGGTTGGATGGCTTTGTGAAATTAACAAAAACAGCTCGCAGATCGGCATCGAAACCTTCCTCGTTTAAACAGAACAACTGCTGATTACAAACCCCACGTGTCATCCTCAGTTTTCCCTTATATTTGTTATATAGACCGAACGGAATCACCAAATCCACTTGATATCCTGCATGCAAAACATACTCACAATCAGTATTACTCCGTTCCAGTCCATGATCCCAGAAGCCGTAGGATCGTCTGCTGAAGGAGTGACCGACTTCCACGACCACACTGAATCCTACACTGACCTGAGGACTGCGTGGAGCTAGCGAACTGCACAGCACCATCGCACTCCCATACCGAACGAGCTGCTTAGGTAGTTACTGATGTTCTCATTTCATTTGCGGCCTTATTGCGTTGTGGTTTAGAGGCGAAAGACGATTCGACCCTCAGTATGCCGTGGGTGAAGTATTTATGGTTGTATTGTGTTATTGTTTTGTAGCATATGAGGGTTCGTTAGGTGAAAAGAACGTTTATGAGTTGTTTTTTTGTTCCAGAATGAATATTAACAGAAAACGAGGCATGGAATAAAAGTTTCTCCTCTCTCTCTCTCTCTCTCTCTCTCTCTCTCTCTCTCTCTCTCTCTCTCTCTCTCTCTCTCTCTCTCTCTCTCTCTCTCTCTCTCTCTCTCTCTCTCTCTCTCTCTCTCTCTCTCTCTCTCTCTCTCTCTCTCTCTCTCTCTCTCTCTCTCTCTCCTCTCTCTCTCTCTCTCTCCTCTCTCTCTCTCTCTCTCTCTCTCTCCTCTCTCTCCCTCTCCTCTCTCCCCTCTCCCTCTCCCTCTCCCTCTCCCTCTCCCTCTCCCTCTCCTCTCCTCTCCCTCTCCCCCCCCTCTCTCTCTCTCCCCGCCATTCTCTGTCCCTCATTCTTTCTCATTCTCCCTCTCTTTCTATCTATCTTATCTATCTATCTAACTCTATCTACCTACTTTTCTCATTGTCCCATTTCTACCTTTTCGTTTGTTACTCCTTATGTTAAATTGTTTTTATGAAATGTTTATCACTGATATGTATTCGAAGTTCTATGAAAAACTATTTTACTCAGGCTTTTAAATATTAGCATTCAGCCATTTTATTTTTCTCTTCCCCAGTCTATTTAACTATATAGGGTTTTTTACGTCGCTAGTTTACTATATTTCTATTAAAAGAAAAAAAGTTTATAAGTGCACTTTTCTATTCACTTTCTAATATTAGAAAATATATTTAAATACAATATATGAATAATTGTTTTTTACTTATTTTACCCGATGAGATATTAGCCATTTCGTTTGTTGTTGGGGAAGAGAAGTTCTTCATCCTGAACAGTGAAGTGCGTTTTAATAGAAATGAACAAGTGGTGAGATTTTAAGGCCCTATCACATTAGCACTTTTTCCGTCAATTTCTGGGTTTCCGTCTGAATTTGAGGCTTTCCGCAAGGATCGTCTGCAAACGGAACGCCTCCCAGACCAAGACGGTTACGACCGTTTCCGTCTGCCTAATTTCCGTCTTGATCTTGTGCTATTAATAAATTAGATATAATGAGTGAATATTTTAGAACATTCGTATATACAATATACATCATCATATTTCTTTAAAATAACGTAATATTTCTGAGAATGTTCATGTGATTCCCGGGACCTCACTCCGATAGCACCATGTTTGTTTACATGAGTCGGTCGATTTTCATGCGGAAACTTCATTCGGAAACGCAAAAAATATTGACGGAAAAAGTGCTAGTGTGATAGGGCCTTTAGGCTGCTTTTAAATATATCGACTTTTCGCCGTGCGCCGTCCTTTACTAAACGTCGCGGTTTTATATAATCATCAGTGTATGTATAGGCTTGCACACGCAATGACCACACAGTCGTCTGTTGTCACCACAACGCTCTTTTTAAAACGACATAGTGAAGTCATGTGGCGGTGTGAAATGCACATTGCACGCCACGGACACACTCAAACATGTCAAACTTTCGCCGTCGAGTCGACGCTACTTTGCAAAGCGGAAGTGGGAAAGGGATCACACCTCCAAGACCTTCAGCTCCCACTCTCAGATGGGCCTCCTCTGGGCTCCCCCCCCCTCCCCCCTCTCCGTCGCGAGGAGGTGGCTCCCCAATCGACGATCTACCTGGCGAGGGCCCGTGGGTGCCTGGGGCGTGTTGTGAATAGATGCTAAAGAGATTATTTGACTCCTCTTATTTGGTCCGCTTGCTGTTTACGCTCTTTGACGGGGCGTTTATTTGCTTGCAATTCAACTCTCACTGTAGCTTTTGCTGTCACCATTTTCGGCATTAGGATTACTCTTTGTGCACCTCTGGTTAACTGGACCCTGTCTTCGGACTCGTGATCTGACGTGTGCAGACCTTCACCTCCTGCAGGGGAGGCTGTGTCTGGGGGGCCGTAGCGTGCCTGCCTTGCGGTGCACTTTGGGTTGCCATTCTTAGCTAGGGACTGGTCTGACAGACCTCATGACTGCCGCTCGAGTTTTTCTCTGAGAGACACGATTGGGCAGGTGGGATTACCTGCATCGTATGTAATTTCTGGAATACACGGAGTTGGGTCGTAGGCGGTGTGCGGTGAAAGGTCGATACGCCTGAAAGTGGTAGATTACAGCAGGGATCAGTAAACAAAACAGAATATTCCGGGATCCTAAACACACTATAATAATCCAAGTCAAAGTTAATTGTAGTATTGAAACCAAAATTCAATAACAATGATATCTCCCAGGGACTAATTGTTAGATATTATTAATCTTGCTAGTGAACTATAAACTATATAAACTG